GGAGTGAGGAAAGTAAAGAATAGATAGAGAGAGAGAGAGAGAGAGGAAAAGAGGAGAAGAGGGAGGGGATGGAACGACGTGTTTGGTAGATTCTCTCGAGGGATTTGTTAAAAGGAGTTTGCGCGACGCAGGGCGTTTATCGAGGGATTTTAAGGACAGGCTACGCCCGTTGAGATACGCGAGTCGTTTTGTCATTTTGAGAAACACTGTTCACGTTTCACTGTCGTTCACGAAACGCTCGCCTCATCGTGATTCGGGGGGGAAGTTTATTGGATTCACCGGTGGAAACTTATAAAAAAGAAACTTATAAAAGTGTAAATCGTGACATTCTTTTTCCTCTTCGATTTCTGTCGATTGATTCGATTTTCGTCGTATATATCGAGTTTTTTTAGTTTGTATTGAGTTGTTTTAAAGAGGGTGGTTTGCCATTCGTGGTACAAATAATGTCAGGAAGATTTTATGACTCAAAATAAAATGAATAAATAGTAGAGTGAGAATAGTTAATTTTTTATATGGTGAAAATAAGTAAAGAATGTAGAATAAAATTGTATCACGTTAAATCCTTGTTTTTAAAGAATAAAAATTGAATATAATATTAAGAATAATTTGCTTAGATTTTATTAGAATAACCTTCTTCAAATAGTTTCATATATTATATTAATTTCACTTGTATTTGAACATTTTTCAAACAATTTCATTATTCTTGTCTTTCGTCTTATTTCGAGCCATAGAATCTTCCTGATCTCATTTCTACCATAAATTACTCTATTTTTATACAATTTTGCTATTTATTTTGTACGTAATAATTCGAAAGAATTTTTCTATGTCTCGGATCTCGTTCTAAAATTTTAACTGGATTTAATCTCGTTTGTGACAATAATACTTTAACAGTCTCTCTCCTCGATTGAATTTTTTTATTTATTACACAATGCATAATCCGTTTACGTGTACTTTAACGCGTTGCAGAAAGCTAGAAAAGAGTTCATAGAATGTTTGATTACGGAGAAAATTTTTTTATCTTGTCATAGCTTGGTCGAGTTTGAAATCCATTCGTTGAAAGTGCTCGTGGAACTCGTTTGAACTTTGTCGGCCCGAATCAAACTTTCCCGAAAAAGCAACGTCTCGATAGATGGAACGTCGTAAAAGTTTCGAGCACAACGAGATCCAAATAGAATTAATCCACGGGCTCTATTATGGAGGACGTGAATGGAAAGCTCGTGTATCGCGTCGTTGGCCCATTGTTATGGTAATTTCTTACGGCTAATACTATGAAATTGGCACGTGCCTTTTGGATAAATGGCGGATTGGAGAATGGCGAATGATAATTCGAGAATAACAGGGGCTTCGTATCATTTGCAAGATAATAAGGTGACCGAGGTATTCCAATTTTCTCTTTAAATTTATTATGATTTAAGAATTTAAGAATATTTGACAAGAGATTTGTTTGATTATTTTTGCACATTTTTTTTTCTTTTCTTTGACGTTTATCGAAACAAAAATATTTTGCTCATAGAAATATTCGAGCAGAGCAGATCTTGAGAGCGTAATCGATATCGCCTCGAGAATCGCACAGCTTCCGGGAAGATTTATCGAATCCCAGTATAGAAAGCTCCGTTTCAAACTACCGGGATCGAAATATAGGAATCACTTGTACAAAGTGAAAAGTCACGGTACGAATTGCTTTCGGATTTTTATTGCGCCTCGATAAATCTTGCTTGGAAACAAGAAAGAAAGCTTCGGCTCGCTATTCTCTTATAGCTCGATATATACATATATATTCCTTTCTCTAAGATTTTACGAAACCAATCGAGATAAATTCTTGATTGAATTAAAAGTTCAAGGAACATCTTGATTTGGATCAATTAACATCTAACAACAAAGTGACGGTATCGTCTCAGAGATAATCTTTCTATCCCTTCTAAAAACTTTCATAAATTCTGCCCTAGAAGATAAAGTCCACTGAAGGAGTGATCAAAATATTCAATCGATCGAAACTGGATCAATTCTAAATCTATCAGAAACCAGTCCAAATCCAGCATCGTCTCAACAGAGAAAGCTCGATCGCTCGAAACGCGATAAAGTGTAGTAAAGGGGTGGTTGGGGATGTGTGAAACACGAGACGAATTCGCAGATCGTTTCGCCTCATCGACGTCCAACGTGACGACGGTCAGCGAGCACGCCGAGGACGACGACGACGTCAACTAGGTGCATCCCTGAAACGAGCACTGCCGTTTGTTCTCCGAGATGGCGGAGGAAAAGGAGAAGCAGACGTTCCTGCAGAAGCTGCTGTTCTACACGACCGCGTTCTTCATCCTCCTCAGCACCTTCAGCCTCTTTGCCTTCCTCTTCTTGGTCCCCTTCGTCATCGACCCCGCCTTCACCACCATCTTCATGCAGTTCGACACTCGGCCAGCCGAGTGTATCACTGTCAACGTTGAGTCAAGGAGAGGTGAACAATCGTCGCATCTCAAACATCGTCAAACCTCTTTCGTCCGATCGGTGTTTTGCTTTCGTTGTGTCGTTGCATGAGAACTTAACTCCCCCCACCCCTATTCTTTCTCTTTCTCTTTCTCGGTTAGAGAACCACTTTTTTCTATTATCTTGAAGAGACCGGACTCTTTCTCCCTCACCATTCGTGAACCACGAAGTTTGAATCGATTGAGTCTTGGAAAGATGTGAGTCTTTGAAAGTTGTTTCATTTTGTTGGATTCTATACGTGAGTTATTCGATATATACTTCGATATAATGATGTGGTAGCTTGTATGTTTTATTCCTTTTGGATATATATATAGTTGAGATGAAGGTGGAAGTATATTGTTTTATGTTTGACGTTGGATATGTAGATTTTAAGAGATTATTTCAGGCTTTTGTCAATAGCGTCCTGTTAATTCTTATGAATTTCTTATTTCGTTACTAGTTATTATAGTGGATTTGTATTGTTTAATTTCATATACTTTATGGAATATTTTTTTAATAATTTTTCCCATTTCAACACGTTTCATTACATTAATTGTAGATTCTTTCAAAGCGTTGCTCTGAATCGTTTTTTTCTTATACTCGTTATTTTTCTATTCTCTCTCGTACTTTCTCGATAATTCCTCATATATGTGTTCGATGGTGTGTGAGATTAAGTATCATGTAGCTGTATGTGTACTGATTGTATGTTTGATGTGCATTAAGCAATGTAAAGGAGTATTAGGAATAATACTGTACTTGCTTTAACAAAGATGCACGATACACGTTGATATCAAACATCGGAAATATTTCTCTTTTATGCAATTTTATTATATTTCACATTTCGCATCAAAATATTTATAATTCATGAATAAATATTATAGTAATGGTTAAAATGCTTTGTATAAAATAATTTATTCAAAGGATAATTAATTATTTACGACTCCTTATACATTATTCAATGATACATTTGACACATTTGAAGGAAATATTTCTACTTCTTAATGTCAAATGATAATTTCGATAAATCCTTTATGAAACGATCAACCAATGAAATGATGAACTTCTAATTTGACCAATTAGAAGCAAAATCGATCTATGAATTAATTAAATCAACAAGACAGAAAGCCTTCGATGTCTTCAATTTGAAGCTTTCTTCAATGACAAATTTTACAAATACAAGACTGCGATTAAGTTCGTGATTAATTTCCATCCAACGTGGAATATCATAAATAGAAATTGAGCATCCTTTTGTATATACATATATGTATACATCTTTTAAAATGTATACTAAAGAAAATGTATAATTCTGAATTTCTCTTCATAAACTATAATCTCTTCAAAATTTCTATCAAAAAAAATCTATTGAATCTATATTTTTTTTTCTTCTTCTATCCAACAACCAGAAACACGACAGAAGTGTGAGATAGGATCGAAAATATGTATTCTTATCCCAATAAAGGCGGGATATGCGTAGAAGGAGTGTATAAATCGATTCTTTCCAATTCACGAAATAGGGTCATCCCCGGAATATACGATTTGCATGAATGATTGAGAAAACTATTTCGAGCGGAGTCGTATAACGAGGGCTGTTTTGATAGACAGACGGTCCTCGCACGATGAATTTAATATCCCGTGTCGGAGGCAATGACATTTAATTTAATATTCAAACTGTACGATTCCGGATTCACAGTCGAGAGAGTATTTTTCTTTTTTTTTTTTTTTTTTTTATTCGTTGATTATTCAAAGAAAGAGGCAGAAATGTATCCACGAAGGGGACATGATGTTTTATGAAAAGGCGACACGACGTTGAAGTTATTTCTGTCTCGTTCCGGAACGATAGATCCCATATTCGTTGGAAAAATAATCGATATTTAATTAATACTTTACTCTCGTCCAACGAGATATGGAAAGGAATCTGCAAAAGCATCCGAAATACGAGATATTATATCTCTTCAAGACAAATATGGTTATCGTAACGCTATTTATGCAAATCGATATGTTTCTGATGATTATTCATTTCAACAAGCGTTTGATATCTCGAGTAGGCAAATATTATTCCCCATAACAGACGTGTCATTTTTATACGCTTTTATAACTGTTGTTGTGTTGTGCCTTATTGATTTATATCGTTACAACGCCCACTTGATTTTAAAAAAAGAACGAAGAAGAACAAATAGTATGGGAGGGGGGGGAGGGGAGGGGGGGGAATAATAAAAAGTAAACGATCCTTTCGTTTTAAAACAAGAAAAACTAAAGTTACTTATATACTTTGTATATCTGTATTTTATTTCTAAAATAGAAATAAATTTCTAAAAGTGGAAATAATAGAATATCGATCATATCGAATTAATTAAGGGAAAAATAAGCAAATAATCGGCCAAGAAAGATCAATGAAAGTTTAACGATATGAAACATGAAACAATTAAAAATTAACAAAATAAATTACATTATAATGAAATAAATTAATCGCTTTAATTCGAACCAAACTTTTGACTGAACAATTTTTTAATTTTTTTTCAAATTGTTCAATTTTTTCACTTTTATCTCGCATGAAATGTGTACAAACATATTTTAATCGAGGATAATAAGAAGAACAAGATATCGATATTCCCATTCGATCAGTTTGAGATTTCCGTTTGTATTTTCAACAGATACACCGGTGTTGATTTTCATGGAAACAAGATTTAAATAGAAGGGTTAAAACGAGAGGGAGAAGTGGTCGATAGGTCGGGAGAGCTTTCTGGGCTGTTGAAACGTTGAAACTTCGTGTGACGGAGCAGCCAACGTTCAATGCCGTCAATCAAATTTTTCGAGTACATTGAAAAACCACGCGACAGTTATAATTCTCTTTAACAATGTTTCGATAAACCGTACGAATCCTCTTTTTGCCTCTTTTATCCAGAAAATCGTATTTTCGAGTCGTGATAAGCGGATGTATCGTTGATCTTTCATCGAGATTTCCTTTTTTTTTTTTTTTTTTATGAATAATTCAATGCTTGAACGATATGAAAATTATTTTGACGTTTGTGTAAATAATTCGTTGGGATATTTACGGATGACGGTATCGATTGCCATTGAAAACGCATCATTTTGCTGACCCCTTTGAATATTTGATCGTTATAAAACATTCGATCAATCTTTGCTGAATTATAAATACAAGGTTCCTGCTTATTTATAAATTTTAATAATAAAGAAGAATCGTAACCAACAGTAATAACAATAATTAAAATTATTGTACATAAATTATTAACAATTAAAATACCTTTATAAATACTGTTTCTAAACTTCAACCAAATTTCTAAAAATATTCATAATAGCATAGTTAATATAAGTTATACAGAGAATAAATTGCGCAATAAAAGTCTAATGAATAGAGGATTAAATTTTACCAAGATTAAATAAAGCCCAACAAATCGTCTTTCTCCTCCGTAAAATATAAAATTCCAATTATAATCTCAATAATTCCCCAAAAAACTCCTTCAAACTCCTTCATTGAAAACTTAAAAAATACATTTTATAGATTTACACCGCTTGTATATACAATTACGTCATTGTACTAAAAATTTCATTTTTGAAATCTGATTACTATGAGTTACAAACATGAAAGATACTGAAATACTTGATGTTGAAATAAAAATTGTCTTTCCTCCAAACAACATTCTTAAGAAAACAAAATTCCAATTGTACAGACTATAATAGTTCTCCAAACCTCGAAATCCTTAGCTGCATTGAAAACGATTGTTAGGGATCGATGACCTTTGACCAAACACAAAATTCCAATTGTACAGATGTATATAATGTATATAATAATTCCTCAAATCTTAAAAATTATTCCCAATCTCATTAATAACTGTTAAGAGTTAATATTCCATCTTTCTTTCATTCTTTGCCACAAAAAAAAGAAAAAAACAAAATTTCAATTGTACAGTCTGCAATCATTCCTTAATTCCTTCGAATCGTCGTCCGCATTGCATTGGAAACGATCGTTAAGGGTTGACATTTCCTTCGTCTCGACCAAACAGAGACCGTTCCCTCTAATTAACGTCTAGACATGTCGGCGGAAAATTATGCGTGTCTCGAATCCATACACGTATCGACGCGAGCGATCGCGACAAGAAACGGGTCTGCAAATTGTGCTCGTCCCCCCGGAAGCTTCGGTAAACGACGACGTTATCGATATATCGACGTAATAGCGCCGTTAAAGAGGCACTAGACGGAGACTGAGGGCTAAGATCGACGCAACTGGTGTCTTTGTATTCACAGCCGGTATTCGAGCCGGTCTCGAGCAATCTGAACGTGTGCCCACCCCTGTGCCTACACTCTCTGTGTTCCCTCTTTCGTCACCCTCGTGCTTACACTTCAGGTCCTCTGTCGAATGCCAGCGGCCGTATACGCTGCAGGTATTCTCTTACGATCGAGTGTTCCGACGTCTGCTTCGAGATGCACATGCAGCGCGGGGTTCTATGTACAGTGGCTCTCAAAAGTATTGACACATCTTTTAAAATCTTTTTTCTTTTTTTCTTTTTTTTTTTTTTTTTTTTTTTCTTTTTTTAAATTGAACGTAACAACTCGACAACTTGTTTTGGGAAATTGGAAGGATTATTAAGTTTATTGGACGACGTATGAAAAAAAATTTTGGAAAAATTGGAATTGATTTGGAATAATCGAAAAGAAAATAGTGAAGGTTATTTTTTCTTTTCAACTTTGTTGTGTGTACGGTCAATCGGACAATTTTTTATATACGTATAGTTTTAAGAAAAAATTTATTTAACTATAATAATACATGAAAATTTTGGTGAAAATTTATGTATGTGTAGAGGTATAATGAATTATATTATGTATTTATATTTTTTGACAGAAAATCTCAAAATCATGTTCTAAAGTTTTGTGCTGTTTTTTATCCTTCAAATACAATTTTGCTCTAGATTACTTTTTCACAATAAAGAGAGATAGAGTATTAAAACCTGGACTATGTTTTATGTACTAAAATTTTTCCTCTATCATGCGTCGTTACGAAGTTATATTTAAAAATATGAAAAAAATAACTGAAACCTTTTAAGATTGATTTCAACCTTTCAAAGTGATATTTGGCTAAAAAAATTGCTCTATGTTATTAAGGGATTTTACGGATAATTAAACTTAAATAATTTTCTTAATTATTGAAAAATGTTAATTCATTCTGAATTAATACAAGTTTATAATTTAATTGTAATTGCGAAATGTGAAATATGAATTAAAAAATTAAAATCACAAATTTGTATTACGCTTTAACAAATACTTTTAAAATTTTCTTAATACTCTTGAATTCATCAAATTTACAAAATTAAATTATTTAAATATATATCGTCTCGTTTTTTAAAATATATAATGAAATTTCACAATGAGTACACTAAATTGCAATTCCCAATTCTCCCAACGTTGTTGCATATATGTATATGTGTATGTGCGAATGAGTTTTGTTTCTCTGAACACTATATATCATATTGATCTCCATTACTATTTCATATTCTATTAATCGTTATGGTTTCCTATTCTCTGTAAACTCATATCTATATCGCACTTTTGGTCTTCTCTATTATTCATGCTCGTTCAAATGATTCACTTGATTAAATTGCAACTTTTTTTCATTAAATCTGATATAAATTTTTAAACGTATCTTTAAACGTGTCTGTGCACATATACACACATTCGAGTCCTTGAATACGTATTTATTTCGTTCGTTAAAGCATAATAAAATTTATTGAAACGAATTCCATAAAAAATTTACATGTAAATTGAAAGATGATTAAAAATTTTAATTATTGAAATATTGTGAAACGTCTTATAGCTTAATATATTCTACAATTCTCGTTATTCACGTTATCTCGTTAATTGTCACCTCGAAGATTTGTCATTCAATGATAATGTTGTTCGGCACCTCAACTGCAATTGATAACGATAATTATACCAGCCAAGATTATTTCACATAGATATCTCGTAATAGGATTTTACCGAGAACACGAATTTGCTCAAGGAAGAAAATGCACGAAGTTAGATTACATTCATCCCCCTACACGAGAGCAACCTTGCAATCATGGTTAGTTAACGATTCGGATTAACCATCAACATGAATACGAGTATAGTGATAATTAAGATTTCTGTCTAAGTTATGCACAATATTCAGAAATAAACTGATCGTTCAATTTTTTCTAATTTGAAAATCACTCGAAATCTCCACTACCATTATTTTTAAAAATATTATTTTATTAAACATTCCATTAATTGTTCGATGAAACAAATTTTTCATCGAACGAATCTCGCTAAATTTATTAATTTAATTTCGAAATTTTCGCACTGTGACTGGCCATATGAGCCACCACCAGTTAAAATCGTAATGATGTGCATTTTAAAACTTCGGAAATTGGACATTATCCAAAAGCTGTGACGACTACATCATTGCTAGAGTTTTCCTCTATGAAAGTTTCGAGGAGGAAGAGGAGGTCAGGGCAAGGATTTCTAAGTTGCCTCAGGGACCATGTTAAAAACTTTTTGCTATAGTTTCCTTGTTCTCAAGATTCTCGAAGAAGTCACCATGCATTTTTCTCTTCCCTGGTCAACTTCACCTTCTCGTCTTCTGTTTCTTCAACGATTTATGCGCTTCGATTCTTTTAGTCGACACTCACCCCATACGTGTCTCTCAACTTCTCCTATCTTCGTTTGTCTCTTATTGTCTCGTGTAACACGATGCACGTCGAAAAATTGTATCTTTTGTCACATTTTGTAAATGTAATTCAATTTAAGTTTGCTGCCGTTTCAATTTTCAATTTACTTAATAAATTTGAAACAATTGACAGTACTTTTTTTATCTTGAAAATTTAAATCATGTGTTAGTAAGTTTTATGTATATTAAGATTTTTAGATTTAAACAAGGCATGTCCTAAATGTTCACTATAAGCTGAGATAAAAAATCAGACTTTTTTCTTCACCCGTTGTCTAGTAAATTAATTCTAACATCTCAAAAAAATTCGAGCGGTTTCATCCAATATTAAAAAAGTTATTTGAAGGGCGTGCAAATACTTTTCACCCCTCGTTGAAACAACAGCAAACTGCAGAAGAAGATTCACAAGTATCCATTTTTCAATCTCTCGAACATCTCTCACCCCCAAGAAAGGAAATCACAAATTTCGAATTTAAACTCTTCGATCTTCTATCTCCCCCTACCCCTTACGGATGCATAACCCATCATTTTTTCGGCGTGCACCAGTCTCTGTCGTGATCTAGCCTCTTCGTTGTCTGCTCCCCGTCAAATCCTCGTCACTGACGAGTGCCTCCTCATCAACGTAAAGCCCATGAACGATCCGTTGAGTCCAGGTACGAGCAACTGCTCATGGACGTCCTGTAGAGAGGGTTGCACCAAGGAGCTGTACGATTGCACGCAAATACGCGTCAACTACAAGCTACCGACTAATACGTCCGAGGATAGCGATGGACAGGGTGAGGGAGGCGGAGCGGTAGGAGGTGTCGAGGATGACGAAGACAGCACGACGATGGAAAAACCGCGTTACGACCGCTCCCTAAGGGAGTACGATTACGTCGAGGACCTTGACGAGGATTTCGCCGAGGACGACGAAGCAGGACTGCCGAAACCCTTTCCTACAGGTATAGAACAACGTGCTCGGCTGTTACGTTTCTCAGTTCGAGCCGAATAATCTTACAAAATTTCGGTCGAATCTTTATTGTAGTTGATTCGATGTAATTAATGATTGTATTAGAGGTATTTATGAGAGTGTTAGTTTCCGGTCTACGTTGAATTTCATTGTTGTTAAGAAGATAATAGGGAAATGTGTCGTTTGGTGGAAACTGCGCTGAATGTTTAAGACGAAGGTTTCTTAAAATTTCTCTCTCTGTCTTTATTGGATGAAACGATAAATATGGAAGGAAGTTTCTTTTTTATTATTATTATTTTATTAATCTTTCACTGTTGATTGAGAAAATTTGTACGATTCGATACGATATTCTGTTGAATAAGTCATGCGGGGTTATATATTCGGGAGAAAAATTCTTTTTTATTATAGAAAAGTACATTTTTTTATTTCATATTTGATATTTAATTAGGTAATTCATTTCGAAAAGTTATTGTACTTGGATTAATTGAAAGTAACTTTGCAAGAGAAATTACTTTCAACTTATCATTTCATTTTTAAATTGGACGTACATTTATCTGAGAAAAAGGCAAAAAATTATAAAACAATATATGTTGTTTAAATTCTATATAAAACTATCATAAAGAAACACGAACGAATTTACTGCACAACTTAGCACAAATCTAACTTCAAAGATTAATGAAAGTTCGGCATAGTTTTTAATTATTCCACTCTCAGCCAGAAACTCGTGCTCCAATGCGCAAATAATACAAACTCGCATGCGACGAACCATCGACAACCCCGCACGACAGTTGAATTTCAATTTCTAAATGTCAGGGAACGTAGATCTCGAAAGCGAAAGCGTTCCACTAACGAAACAGGAAAATTCGTTGTCGTTCGAACACTCGAATTGATCGAACGCTGTCGCTCGAAGCGACGCTAACAATGTCCACCATTTTCATTTCCTCTCCTCGATGGAAATGCTTGTCGACGAGACGGTGAGGCGACTGGATGATAACGAGGCGAAGTTCGCAGGGCTCATGGGCAACGACTCCGAGTGGTACTTCACCGGGGCCAAGCTGTTCCCCAACGTAAAAGGCTGTGGATACCCTCCAATGCTGAATTGCAGTATTTTCTACCGGCAGTACGCCATCATAGGGCAGAACTTTAGCTGTTACTACTCGAAAGTGGACCCCGGGATAGTCATCAGCGACCTCGACATGTGGCAGGTCTCTCTACAATTTTCTATCTTTCCTTTCTTACTTTTATAAGCAGATATTTGATAGAAAAGGTACCACTCTTGATTTTCATTTTTTTTTTTTTTATGTGAAAGTTTCACTCGTTGCTTAAAGTTAAAAATTAATCTGAATATAAACAAGATATAGAAACTAGATGTAAGAAGTTGAATAAATTTTTCTCTCTGGCATCGATTAATTTCAATCAGAATTAAATAAATACTCGATTTAAATTCGCTTTGGATTAATTTTTTTAATCTATCGGAGAGTGATATCTTTTTGTAAACAATTATCCTATTTTCATACGTACACCCTGTAATGATTTCATATATATGATTCAATTTTTGTTTCGCGTTTACATAAAAAATAAAGAAGGATTCTTTCTTGTTTGCATCCTAAGTTCTTTGCTGTTTTTGAAAGTTTAATGGAATGAGATGGAAAAAGTTGAAAGTAGATTTCTACCTGGTATTACATATCTATATATAAAGAATGTGGATGATAACAGTTTTTCCTGAATCTTGATCTTACGAAGAAATAAAATTGAAAAGTAAGACATAGTATCGAGATCTGTATATCCAAAATGCAAATAGGAACAAATAACGAAGAAGCAAGAGTAGAGTATTACAAGTTTCTTTCGAATTTGAGCCTCGCAAATATTCGAATCCCAGTATATTCTCTTTTTCCCCTTAGTTTCCATAAACGTTATCTACGTACAATCACTCTGTTGCTCGAGCAAAAAGTTTATCTCTTAACTTCTTTCCTCGAACCTCTTCCAACCAATTGAAAAACCACTCGTTAAATATTATTATGGAATAAAATCAAATGCAGAATGGTGAAGCGAATAGACGTCAAGTTTTCCGTCTACGCATCAAAATCACTTATGAATGCAAAAACCTGGCAACAAGAATCTTCACGAACGCCTTATATCTCCTCTTCGATCAAAAAGGGATGCATTTCACAGACACCAAAACATCTCGAAGCAGAGCATTGGAAATAAGTTTTGCTCGATAAATCCTCAAAGATTTCACCAGAATTTTCAATACCATATTGATTTCTGATCTATCCACGATGGATCCAGCCAATTGCCATTATGGAAATCGAGAGGGATCGAATGTCGTCGTGCCTTTGGGTTCGAACTGTAACCAGGTTACTGAATTTCAAACGCCGGTACTTGCACGTACAAGTCACGCGAAACTACGTCTCTCTACGTGTTGTGCGACTTTCGTACGAGTTTACCGTCTTCGTGAATCGATACTGCAGGTGCCTATCGAGGGCATAACACATTATGCAGGGGAGCAACAACGTTCCCTTCTCCTCTGTAAATAGGTATAAAGTGCATACGTAACAGTGCTCGTTATTAACCCGAGATCGGTATCCGCTTTAATTGGGACACAAAGATCCTCAAACTCGGAGTAATTGATGGCGGTTGCATGAAGCAGGCGTTACAATAGGGAGAAAGAACGAAGGAAGAACCGCGCCAGATTGTCTCGCGACTGTTGTTATCAAGGAAATTGGAAAGCATGAGAAAAACAAAGAGGAGAATGTAATTGCATAATGGAATATTGGCAATTTGATTCTTTGAAGCTGAAATTGGGGGCTGCTTTCGACATTTCGCGTGAATCAGATAAAGGAAAAGACAAAGGAGAGAGAGAGAGAGAGTTAAGAATTGAAGAGCAACGAATGGCGAATTTAAAAAAAAAAAGAAATTAATCATCTGACGAATAATCCTGATTTTAAAGAAGAAACAGGCGTTGGAGGGAGCGATCCATCGGTATCTCGGCGCGGAAAACGATTTTCCGCCGGCACTGGAATTCCGTTACGTTTACGGAAACGTAGCCGCCTGCACAGCGACGAACAATGCATTTCAAGTAGGCTGAATGCCCTGCCCGACGACAAAGACGGGAACCGTCGTTGAAACTCGTGCCGCGCGGCCAGGAAAGAAAAGAAAATTTCTCGCCCGCCCGCTCTTCAGCCGCGGTTCCAATTGAAATCCATGCGAACGAGGAAGGAGAGAGAAACGTGGCGGGAGGGTTGAAAGAGGGAGAAGGATGGAACGAGCACTCTTACAAAGCGACGACAATATTTTTTGGCGCGGGTACGCGTGTCAATTATTCGTAAATTAATGACACCCTCGAGATACGATATTTGACGCCATCAAATTCTAAAGTTTGGGGCGAAAACATAGATCGAGAGAGATGAGATTTTTATTTCTCTCCTCCTTTTTAATCATGCTTCTAATGGACTAGTGGTGGCAAGATCGAGATTTTGGAAGAATTGTTATCTCTTTCATTCGCTATTAGTAATTTTTGATTTACTTTGCGAACGAATGTCGCTTAAAATAAAATGAAATTATGTTTCAATGTGTATAATATTTATAGTAAAGATTGTTATTATTCTATTAACATTTAAGTAATTTTTAATTTAATCATCTATTTTTACTTGTAAAGAATACTTGTTGAAACGAGTTAACTGATGTGCTAACATTTTACGAAATATTTCAATAATCCTTCCAATTAATTTCCTTAACTAATTACTCTGCGTTGATACTTTCGAGAGAAATTCGATAAAAATCTAGAAGGGGAAAAATTCCATCCACGGATTTAAAACGTTCCTTGCAATAAATTTTTCGCGATCCACTTCGAAATCTCTGTCCGCGCGCAAGAATTCCCCTCGGAATAGCGAAACTTGAGAGGGGAAAGAGTGTTCAGTTCGTTGAGGCAACGTGGCTCCATTCGTGACGTGTTCTACCCGCAGGTGTACATGAATCTGGTGTACGCGATGGCGATTCCGATACCGTCTTTCATAATCTCGGTGATATATCTCACCATCGCCTACTTCAAGATCTACAACGAAGACGAGGTGGTCCTCGTGGGCGGGGAGGAGGGCGAGGAGGGCGGGGAGGGCGAAGGGAGTAACGCGACACCCCTGCCACTGACGAGCGGCGCCCTTACGCCCGGCAGCGAGGCTTTCAGGGAAGACCTAGCGAGCTTTGGGCATCAGCTGAAGGTCGCCATGGCCGACGACATCAGCAGGGAAAGCCTGGATGGGATACCAAACTCGTACTCCATTCAGGGGTAAGCGTTAACCCGACAGATATCAAAGATATTCTTTTCTTTTTTTCCTATGTATTTTGTTTCAGTTGCGTTTTAGTTTCTCTCTCTTTCTCACTCTCTTAGCCTCTTTTCTTCCTCCTCTCGTCCTTGCTTGCAAAATTTTCTTTTCCACGGAGAAAAATGTGTTGTATGTTTCGAAGGGTACGAGAACTCGTTCGAAGAAGTTTGAAGTTGAAGGGGTTCTGGAAGGGGTTTGGTGTATGTATTTTAAAGAGAATAGTTGGAAGTTTGATGATATTCGAATTAATTTCACCAAGTACGCGTTGATTAGAAATTATGTATAATTCTTACGAAAAAAAATAATGATCGATTTCTTGTGAAAGATAAATATTTCATATCTTTTTCTCTATTTCTGTAAAATATAGAATATTTTATAATCGAGTATATATATTTATCGAAAGCGCGCATTTGAACATCATTATTCTCGTTGTTACGAGTAATAACGTTATAACGCCACAGCTAATGATCAGGATTCAGTCAAACGAAAATAGACGTTGTTAATGGGACACTTGGATGGCTTTAGGCGATTCACCTTGGTATTCAGAATATCGCGTTATTTGGAACCGCCGAGGCTTCTAGTCAATCTAGCAGCAGAAAATAGATGCTTTAAAAGAATCGTTAATTCTAAGCAGATAATCGTTTTAACAACGAGATTTCGAGATCGTGCATGAGCAATTTTCCTGGCAATTTACTCCTCCTCTGTAGAAGAAAAAAAAAAAAAAAAGAATGTGTCAACCAAGATTTATACACGTTATAATCGAATAAAACTTCTTACGTGCCACGCTCAGAATAGAAATATTCAAATTGTGGTTATACAACAGTTAATTGCCTTTTCGCGTAAGGTTTGAAAAAATTCATAAGCTGATGTTCTTTAGAAGTTTTCTCCGTTCCATTTGACGAAAACTTCGAACTGGTGACGCCAACTATACAATTCCCTCCCTATTCACCGAACGAAAATAGGAAACCTGGAAAATTATAATCCTGCAGAATGTTCGCAATTACGCCCATTGTCGCTTGCGACAACCTTCTATACGAGGGCTTTAAAGTGTATTAAATGCTTTATAGAGATTGAATTTTATATTATGATGAATTTTATATTATCACTTTGCCCCTGTATTGTACCCTGTGCATCGAAAAAATAAGTATGACAATATTATTTTTATTGACGCGTGTCACGAAGAATTGTGCATCTTTCCCTTTCTATTTAGAAAAAAAATTCTTGCATCGAAAACTGTTACATGAGACACGTCGCCCCTTCGTTTACGAAAAGGAACAAAATATATATTCATCACCATTGCATTCGCATCATCTATAAAGAAAATTTCTTTATCGAATTCCGATACAACCCTCCTCCTGGAAAAAAATTACACCGCCAAGCAAAATCCATCCAACACGTTTCTACCATCGAAATCTGCAAAAACGTTATCCTCGTTTTTTATCCTCTCCCCCCTCCTCCTCGAAACTTCACGTTTCTCGCATTTAACTCGCACGCTTTTCGATTCGATCACCGTGAGAAACCATCATCCGAGATTCCTCCATGCCGATGATCGAAAAACCGGATGCGGAGAAATGCTCGTCCTCGTGGTGGAAAATAGTCTATCGAGCGGCCTTTGTGCCCGAGAACAGGCATAAAACACGGTGTCGTGTATAAATATCCACGGCGCACGGTCACCGAGCACGATAAAGCGTCGATATCGGATGATTACGCGGTCAATTTCACCGTTGGACCGCGACAAACCGAAGATATCCTATCATCAGGATAACGTGAACGTTGCAGCACCGAATTCGATTAGCCTTATATCGAATCGGATCTATAGCTTCGAAATTTCACGTACCACCGATCCGGCTTACTTCCTGTTACACGATTTAACCCCTTTGTACGTCGTGTCTATCGCCAATCTATTTTCTCGAGTTTCAGACGGAGTTTTACTCGGCGGTTGACGGTTTTCGGTTTACATTTTTTGGTGCGTTATTGGCACGTTTGATCATCGTGATTTGTGTAATGAGACAAATACTGAGGGGATATTTTGAATGGAAGTAATTTTTGATATGTTGATGGGATAATTGCAATAGTGTTGGAAGGACTTGATATCCATTTTTGAAAGAAATTTTATTTCTTTTTATTTTTGATTTTAGAAAAATTTAGAGGGGAATGTGAGAATTTATGGATTTGTGATAATATAAAATTATAGTATTTATAAATTTCAAAACAAAAAAATAATTATAACTATTTATAAAATAGTTATTTTCTACAGTTTTTATATCTTTTCTGTTAGAAAAAATGTTAGAATTTTCTTACTATAAGCTTCTTCTAACTTCATTTTGTAAATTGCGCTTGTTCCTTCTATTTGCAAAATACTATATCAGGAACAAAATTGTCATGATAGATAAAGTGTGTTAAATAAAATCTGCAACTATTGCAATAATTTATTAAATAAAGGGTAAATAGTTTATTATAATAAAACAAAAAAAATGCGAATACGATTATCTTTGTGGAGGGAAGGGACGATGAAATACAGACAATGAGAATTTGATCCAATTTTGTTATGTGAAACGAGCGTTCAAATGCTTTTGAAATACGAAAACATGGTAACGATGTTAACCAGAAAATTTGCAACCTGAACGTTTGAACGTCGCTTATTATTTACCGTGTCCCTGCAAAATTAATCTGTAAGGTTAATTGGAAAACTTAACGAGCGATTGCAATACTAATATCTCCAGTAAACTAAAATTCATAATTTTCTAAATATATAGAAAATAAATATATTAGTTATTTTAAAAAAAAAATATATTTCCTTTTGTGACAACTTTTTTGTCGCCTCTACAATGGAATATTAATATTTCATACAAAATAAATATAGATACACGTTTTAATTTCTATCACAAATGATGGTAATTAAAAGTTTCGACAAATCGAAACATTTTATAAGTACATTTCTAAAAACATTTCGTTGAACGTTTGCAAAAGGCAATTCTGCTCTTTTATGTTCATCACGAAATAAATACTTTGTTTCTATAATTTATTTGTAGACACAGTTATCATCGAGAGACAGGTATTATCGTATGTGAACAATAGAACGATTGTTATAGCTTCGATAATGGAATAATATATGAATCTTTTTCTACGATAATGTTTGTGACGAATTGAAATAGAATTTTGTGTACGCAATAAAAACGTGGCAAAAGCACGATCAAGTGATTATTTTTCTTTTTTTTTTGGATGTTTTTTTGGATGTTTGTCAATTAATTCATTCCTCTATAAATATTTTTCTTATTTGTATTACTTCTTTTTTTATATCAAATATTTTTGATATCATAAACGTATTGAATTTTATTTATAATTCGATGAAACGAAAAAATTCAAATAATTTTCACGAATCATCTTTCCTTATTTTCTATTATTTTATCAAATAAGATATTTTCCATTCAATTTAACTTAAACAAAATTAATTGTAGAAAATTTTATTCCATTAAAATAATTCAATACTTACGTTGAATTCTTCTTTTTTTGATCTTTTAAATCTCAAAAACATATCCCATAAATTTGCAAAGTCTTGTACAATAGATGGTCACAGATAGTTTTCCTCTTAAGAAAACGTTAATCTTCATCGATTTTCTTCCTCGTCGATTATAACTTCCTAGCTGAGATGAGAAAACTGGACGATTCTTTGCTCGATCTTCGTGGTGAAAATACGAAAGTATGAAATTACGCAGTTCGCGTAAATAGTGGAAGTTCCAGTTGACGTAGTAATAGGAAACTTTATTTGCCAGACTACGAGTCGCCTGAGTTTTTCCTGAGCTGAGCTATAAATGGAAGGGTGCTTTGACTCGAAAGAATTATACGAAAGCGCCGACATGAACGGAAATTATGATTTGCTTTTTGCTGTTCGATTATCGGGGAGGGATTGTAAGGAATATATAGTAAAGTATAACACGAAATTTTCTCAATTAAATGAGAATTTTAATTTCCAGAGTGGATTTGGATTAAATGAATTAATTTAAAAATTATAATCTTTCAATTAATATATCAGTCTGATTGTAATTGTTTCATTCTACTTGTTTTATCATGACTAGGCTATACAGTTTTATGCAGCTAAAATATAAATTTCAAATATCGAATTAATATTCAAAAATAATATTTCATATTATTCAAGATATATATCAAACTATGTAAAATATCAATAATTTTATTACATAAATTTGTCATATAATTGTTATAATTATATAATTTACTTGTGAAAAATTATCGTTCTACAAAATATCATATAATATGCATATAACTTGTTATCTATCTAATATACAAAGTATCTTAAAAATATGGTAATTTTATTATAAGTGGAATAAACTATATTTAAACAAATATAATAAATTTTTCACTTTGTCGATAAATATAATATATTAATTCAATTTACACGCTCCAATCAAATTCATATATCGTTCTTTAAAAAAAAGAATTCAGTAATGCAGAAATTATTTTCGAAAAATATAACGATGAAATGATACGGAATAGAACATGATGCTGATGAAATGCTCAAAAACTTGGTAACTGCAATGCTAGATATATTATTAATGGAGCCAAATCTCACTCTGAGTTTCATGTTTCCATAGAGAGTGTGCTTAAATGGAAAACGAACAAGGTGGCGTCTTGCAGTCTGTGAAATCGATGAATTACTACAGAATGGTTCAAAACTTATGCTACTTTATACAATTCGCAATACTTCTCTAGTGAGAAAATAATATCATAAATTTGAATCATGAATCAATTTTATTTCTCATATATACTTTTTCATATCTCATTCGTTTCCATTTATTTGTTGCGTATCGTGCATTATGCATCGAATCGAACTTTCCTTTTGAGAGGCCCTGTATTTCTTGAGAGCGATGTCTAGAAATTCCCTTCCATGCATCTTCGTCGTATCGTACGCGCGCACATTGTATGAATGAACGTGAATATTTGTCTTCTGATATTAAACCAGAGATTTCGTGGGAAACCAAGGTATAGAAATTCGATACGTGATTTATTACTTATGTACAAAGAGAATATTTCATTAATTATTATAATCGTCACTAATATCGCGATAAATTATAGAAGAAGAATTAATTATTCGTATCTCTCTTTCTCTCGGAAAAATTAAATTTTACAAATATAAGAAGATTACGTTTCATCGAATTTTTAATCGTTATTGCGCCTTTAGAAACATAGGGAAGGGAATCTTTTCTTTCAGGTTCATTGTTACCTCTTCAGTTTTATTGAGGGGGAAAAAAAAAGAAAAGAAAAGGTATCGTGCAGAAAGAAGATGATCGAACAAAGCGGGGAAAGATAATAGCGTTGTCGGCTTGCCAAAAACTGCTACTGAACCTTTCAAAGAGTTTTTTTTTCCTTAAGGGTATCTCACGGTTACTTGTCGTGCAAACTGCGCGAACAATCGAATTCAAAAGCAACTTGAACCTCAAAGTAAGAAATCTAAACAATTTCTTATTATTATTCTCTGTAATTATACAATTTCAATCGATAAAGGGTTAAATTAATTCTCTTTTAATACGAATAAGATAAAGTCAAAATTTTAACGCACATATTGTTAAAAATTAATTTGAAGAGTAATTTTTATTTTTAACAGAGATTGCCAATATATATTAAAAACTTGAAGATAATCTATCAAAGTGACCTAAAAGTTTCAAAATGAATTAACAACAGGAACAAATTTCATGAAATTGATACTTTCATCGCCCTTTGAAGTTTCGTTTCTACGTATTTCTATGTAAATTGGATCGATAGAATTGGATGGATAGAATTTCGACGATATTTTTATTGGTTTTAATGAATTGATATCAATCACGATTCGAAACCAAAAACAATGGCGAATGTAGCGATCATGCGAAGTCTGAACTTTTCTTAAATGACGCGCTTTAAAGAGGCAATCCTCGATTTGAATCTGTTCATCAAAGATTCGAATGCTTTTTGGAATTGGTGCTAATTGGAAATTCCCATCGGGTTTTCGGTGTCCCACGACGATCAATTTACCTGCCACGATGTAATTAATTTCTCTTACGTATCAGAATTCGAAGCATAATTAATTTTGGCCACGATACCATTAATTAATTCCCAATTGGATTGGATTCTTTTTTCGGAGATCGAGACATGTTCGTTAGAAATGATTATTGTGTGGAAGTACAACGAAAATATTATAGTTTATACCGATTTTGAAATATATTAATTATCCAAAAGTTTGAGTGCAAGTTTCATTTATTTAATATCAAAAATTATTGCGTCTCTGCATCTATCGCTACTTTAAGATCGATCGTTATTGAAATATTCCCTTATAAATAAAGTTTAAATTTAATTTTTAATTGTTAATCATCAATTTTTATAGTAATTTATTTTACTTTCCATTAATTAATCTTCAACTCTATTTACAATTCGTTAAACTAGCTAATCTAAATCAAACATGGTCGTATATTATCAGAAATTATGCGAAACCATACGTTTAGTTTATTTGTGACAACCAGAAACACGATGCATAAACGACAATACCAGGTTCTCTCCTGTTTCTGGATACACATTCACGTGTTTATTTAAGATTATCCATTGAATTCAATTACCATCGCACGATGCACTAATATAAACGTGTCATTCTATTTATAAACAGAGGACAATGATTAACACAGTTATTTAAAAAGTTATTTAATTGAGATTTCAATTTTAATTTTATTATAATTTCTCAATTTCTTACAAGATTAAAAAGAATAATTTTTATATAAAAAAGAAATATAATCTTGGATTTATTTTTCTTATATGACCAGGAGTAATTAATCTATGATGAAATCAACACGTACCATCATTAGTTATGAATCTACCTCTATATGAGATGCGTGAGTGAGGTCACTTGCGAGGCTAAGCAAGGACGCAGGCATCGATTCTGACCTAACCACCTCTACCCCCAGCTTATAATTCCAACAACCTCACCTCCTATTTCCTCCTCTTTCTACTCTTATCCCTTATCCGTCCGCCCGATTGAGAAACTCTGCTATTTTCTTCGACTTACTAAATATTCCTCGTATCACAGGTCATCCACTTCTATATCCTTACATTAATATCGAAAATTGCAATAAATTAATATTCAATTAGAAGAAATCTCAGATTTCTTAAATTGCCATTTATAATTTTTCTTTAATTAAAATAAAGTATAAGATATAAATTTTAAAGATTAGATAAAGTCAAATTATGTGTAATATATTTTATATCACACAGAAGTGGATCGCTCACATATTTGCAAACATTTATCGAATAAAATCAATTTATTACTAAAAATAATAATCGTGCAATCATAGAACAGAACGTATATGGCGTATCCCTCTGACCAATTTCTATAAAACAATCAGTAATGCAGGAATACATTGTTATCCCTTAATAATTTCAAAATCATAATCATCGATTGATTTACTAATCATTCTTTCTAAAAAATCTCAAATCTCTCTGACGTACAAAAACTCATCAAATAATAAAAAAAAAAAATCGTCCAACCTTCCCTGAATCAACATCTTTGTCTGATCCAGCATCTGAACATTTTCAATGTCTATAATATAATAAAATACTGTGTTTTAATATATGAAATTGCTCGTTAGGGTAACACGATCGATAGCGTTGTCCTCGTTGAACGTTAAAGTGGCCTCGGCTCTGGCATCTTGCCTGTACACCACCTCCTTACATTTACACACTCTATCCAATTTCAAACATTTATTTTAACATTTTCTTCTCTCTCCTCTCTCTTTTCCTTTCTCTCTTTTTCTCTTTTCTCTCTCTCTCTCTCTCTTTCTCTCGTTATCTTCCAATTTGACGATTCCGCCACTACCTTCTAATTTCCGTTCGATCGACGTATCGAGCACAGGTGTAACATTACCAGAGGAAATAACGTGTTGTCGAGCGAATTGATAATCGATAACCGCGTACAATTTTGAAGATTTTCAACGTCGAACACCGTGTACACATTTTGATCAATAATACGGCATCACTTTGCGTTGGTCTGGTTTCGATGCGAACAGCAAGTAGAGCATGCGCCCGATAAACATTATAAGGATCTGGTGTCACCTTTTCAAAACGGTTAATCGTTTTAACTTCGCGCCGTTCCTTCCCTTTTTTTATTTTTCTCTCACTGTTTTTTTTCTTTTTTTTTTTCGTGCTCGTTTTATTTCGGATAAATGAGCGATGGAATTTCGTCGTGTAAAATTTTGAAGAGAGTGGTAAATTGAGAATTCGCGATATGCGATGTGAATATTATGTATTTTGAGAGTATCGTTCCAATGGAATTTTTTATTTCAATCGTTCAACATCCAGAAATTTGCAAATTTATCGTGGTACTCTATACTCTACGTCGAACGAACGAAAGTCACATCGTGCTTTAACGTTACGTGTTAAAAATAGATTAGGCGTGTGAACGTGGCTTATTGTCCCCAAACAATTGCTCTTCTAATATTCATGAATCGCTTTCCGGTGAATTTTCTTTCCTTCCTTTAATTTAAGGAAAAATTAGGACAGAGAGGTGTTAAATTTGGAATAATATGGGACGTGTAAGATCGAATAAAAATAACGATATCTAACTCCGAGAAAATGAATTTTTTTTCTTCATATCTTATGGAGTTTCCTTGGAGGTCCTCTTCCCTGGTATTCGAGACGAGATTACGAGCATTCATTTGCTGCATAACTGTTTAAGACGATCGGCAAACTTGGATTATCTCTCGATCCTCATCGTCGATGAGCTTCTTACAGGCATTAAAGAGTTCTTTCTGAGAGACACGTTATTCAAATCGATGATGAAATTATTCTCATGACAATAAAATTATAGGGATCATCGTAAATATTATCCGTTTCAAGAAGATTTGAGAAAATTTTTTTTATCTATTTCCCAAAGATAAGACTTTCGAAGATTATTTTTTAAAAATCATTTTTTTTAATCCCTTCGAAAAGAATGATAAATATGTGCACGAAGGGAATTAATTTTTAAATTTACACCTTCTACATGTTATAGCTCTCTATTCTTCTAAAGGTAATTAATTATTATTATTATTATTTATTATCATAATTTGCTATCCGCAAAAAAATAACTTCGCCGAACGCTTCGAATAGTTTTGCTTTTTTTCAATAAACTAACACACACACACATACGAAATCATCGACGACAACGTTTGACCAATACAAATATACCTGTTTCAGAAACTTGAGCAAGACGATGACGACCAGTATCTCGACTCCCCCTGGGCCGACGGCGGCAGTCTGAAGCGTCACTTTCAAGGTCTGAACAACATCTCCTGGAAACCGCATTAAGCGGTGCCCCAAGAACGGGATCTAGAAAAGAAGAGAGAAGAGAGAGCGAGAGAGAGAGAGAGACGAAAAGAAAAATAATTTTTCTTCAACACAGCTTGTTCAAGTCATCGATCGCGAATACAGCCAATATTCTCTCACCGACTACCGAAAATGGAGAACGAGAATTAAAAGAATAATAATAGGGGAAAAAAAAGAAAAGAAGAAGAAGAAATCGTAGCTTCAGATATTTCCACGGATACCACGGAGTGTAAACCAGTGGTGCACGATGCTCAATGTAAGAGTTTCGGAAGGAAACGGGCGTCGATTTGCGTCCAATTAAAAAAAAAATATATATATATATTATAAAAAAAGAATTTTAAAAAAGAAAGAAAAATAGAAATAAAAAAAAAATTAACATCGGCGTTCTCTCCTCAAAAGCGTAAAAATTCACGGATTTAACCAATCGATTCAGGATGATTCGTTCACGAATAATAGAGAGAGAGAGAGAGAGAGAGAGAGAGAGAGAGAGAGAGAGAGAGAGAGAGAGAGAGAGA